CAATATCTAAGACAACAGGACCATATGATAGAATTTCTGTACCCTCCTCCCGTGTGAAATTTGGAAGGGATCATCTTCCTCATGTCTCACTTACAGTATACTCGGGATTCAACCCTTCCCTCCCTCCCGTTTGTTCCGTGCGTATCTTTCTACATTAAACTGATGTAGTTTCAGGTGCAATAATAGTCTCGAAATTCGAACAACTGCCCAAAGGAGACGAAAATACTCTCACAGTTGGAAAGGGAAGTAACTAACAAGAGTCAAAGATGGACTTAAGGAAGACGTTTATCAGACTATATAGATAATTGATAAGGGCAAGGCGTTAGACTAAATGGTATCATTTGGAATTGTTTTCTTTAGTTGGTAATGCATTGTAGATCTGCTCTTTAACGGCACATTGGTGGCACTCTGGCAGAGTCTCTTCGGAACTACAGTACCGGTTTCAATCGGACCTCCGCCTGCTGTCAGCTCAAGTGGGAAATTCCACAGAATAAACAGAGGCCACAGCGTGAAATTACCGGCTAGTCAACATTGCAGGTGATGTAGCCGGTATCCTAATAGGTTGTGTCGAATACTAAGCTAAAAACAAGGTGGAGACAGGGTATTATAACAAGATTATATGACGACTGGTACCAGGCATACTGCACAAAAGTGGATAATACAGAGAGTCATTGACATCTCATTGGTCAGATTAGGTATAGGATCAAACGGAAAGGCGTTGCCTTAGCGTATAGCCCAACCAGGGATATAAATTGCAGAACTGAAAAAACGAATACGGGTGGGTCTACCAATACCAACCGAGCAGCAGGCTTGAACCACAATGTTGCATATAGCGCATGTATTTGCCATTAATGCCATACACTTGTCATACAGCCAGATTCCTGTCAGGTTATACAAAAGCACGCTGCGGCGAAAAGCCACACACCCGGCATGCCGAATAAAACTTTATAGACGTATTTCACCACCTTAGTTCAACTACCTCCATGCCATCAATTCGCTCTTAATTTTCTAACAGCTAAATATAATAATAGGGTAGGAGCTTATTAGCTACTTGGACTTTCAAGAACCAAGGAATCTCTTGGATTTGTGAAGTGACACGCCGTTTCGAAGTCCTAAAGTCGACTCTCCTCCGCCAACACAGAGCACCCCTAGCCGCGCGATTTTCCATGATAATCACTCTAAGTTGATATAAATTAAAGAGGTATCTCTCCAAAAATTTATTCTCTCTTTAGTTTCTCGCGGAGTAGCCCCCGCGCTTCTACCGTAGGAGAAATGGTAGACCTTTTATTATTAAAATAGTAGAACTATTCTTGAAAGATGATGGTCAATTAGGTGCGCGTGAACTATGACCAGGGCTAATCAGAAGTGGACAATCGCCGCTTTGGTTTCGATATACTCCATACAAAGTTTGCAACGGACCTTCCGTCTTCCTTTTGGAAAAGTATGCAAGCGAGGCAATAGACATCAAGCTAGGTTGTAAATGCCTCGTGATTTTTCATTTTAAGCATCTCCCATTTACGTATCGCGGCTATCATTGGGCCGAGTTGGTTTCCAAGTGACACCTTGAACAGTGTATCCACTCTGTTATAACAAAGGATGGCCTGTTACTCTACTTTGTAGGCCAAGCGCTATTTGGTGTCTCCTAGCAGGACATGGCTATAAAGCAGATGGCCCCCCAAGGCTTCACTCTTGCTTCGTGCATACATTCATTCTTTCTCATTCAAACTTCTAGGCTCGTGCTTGATATCCATTCTTTTACCTCTATTCCATCGCATTCTTCGCCATCAGGCTTGATATTCTGTTTCACACTTCACAATGAAGTTCGCTCAAATTGTTCTGGCTGCCAGTGCCGCAACTGTGGCCTACGCATACCCCAGAGGAAGAGATGTTGATCCTACCAAGAAGAGCGCTGATGTCCAGAAGCGTGCCAATGGGTTTTCTTGGTTAGGCGTGAGCGAGTCCGGTGCCGAATTCGGCACTAACATTCCCGGTACTCTAGGAAACGATTACGCCTGGCCCGAGACTTCCCAGGTTAAGATCTTGAGAGATCAGGGCATGAATATCTTCCGTGTACCCTTCTTGATGGAGCGTATGGTGCCTACTAGCCTTACCGGTCCCCTGGATGCCACTTACCTGGCTGGCCTTACCTCCGTACGTGATGTGTCTATCGTGGCTATTGATCCTCTCCTAAATTCTAACAATTCCGTTTGGTAGACTGTCAAGTTCATTACCGATAGCGGTGCATACGCTGTCCTGGATCCCCACAATTACGGAAGATAGTAAGTGTACTAAAACCAGAATTATCTACCGTTATTAGCAGGATACTAATGCTCTATATATAGCGATGGCAATATCATCACCTCAACTTCCGATTTCGCGGCCTTCTGGAAGGCCCTAGCTACCAAGTTCGCCTCTAACGACAAGGTTATCTTCGACACTAGTAAGCGATCACCCCGTGGTAAATCTTACGCCATTGATCTATCCACTAACATTATCCCCCCAGACAACGAGTACCATGATATCGACCAGACCATCGTCCTAAATATGAACCAGGCCGCTATTAACGCTATCCGTGCCGCTGGCGCCACTAGCCAGTATATATTCGTCGAAGGTAACGGCTATACTGGCGCCTGGTCCTGGTCCACTACCAATGACAACCTTAAGGCCCTTACCGACTCCTCGGATAAGATTATCTACGAGATGCACCAGTACCTCGACAGCGACAGCTCCGGTACCTCCGAGTCCTGCGTCAGTACCACTATCGGCAAGGAGCGCCTCCAGTCCGCCACCGCCTGGTTACGGGACAACAAGAAGAAGGGTTTCCTCGGCGAGTTCGCCGGTGGTGTCAATGCCAACTGCGAGGCCGCCGTCGAAGGCATGCTCTCCTACATGTCCGAGAACACCGACGTCTGGACGGGTGCCGAGTGGTGGGCCGCCGGACCCAGGTGGGGATCTTACATGTACAGCTTGGAGCCCAGCACGGGCCCTGCTTACTCTACCTACCTTCCTATTCTCAAGAAGTACTTCGTCTCTTCTTAATCCAGCTCCATCAAGACTACCGCCACTGACAGCTCACCTATCAATCCTTTCACTGGGGTACCTTCTGCCTGCCCTTGTGCTAGCCCCTTTACTGGGCCCGTTGCTATGCACTATTAGGAGTGCAGTGACCTCAATTGGATTGATTCCACGTTCTGAGCTTGGTAGCGCCTGCCTTGAGATAAAACCTTACTACCACCCTTGTGTCAATCAACAGTTGATCTCGCGTTGAGAAGCTGAGATGGAGGTTTCATTGATAGGTAGTTTGGTGTGAGCGCTTTTTTCAGGGTTGACCGTTGACTGTTATCTACACTGTTACTTCACTTTTTCTTTCTTGATTTTACTCGATTACGTTGTGCACGTTGAGTACCAATATTTTACAAATATTTTGTGTTATCCCTCCCAGGGCTTGATGTAGTTGTAGAACCGATCTCCAACTGTCGGGACCATGCGAGTTTTAAAGCACAGTTGGCCTATGAATATGAGCACTTGGCAATCAATCTAGGTTGCGTTGCATAATATGTTCAGTTCAGCGATGCAGACATAGCGACAGGCTGCAAAGGGATCTTAGAAAGATTAATTCCATCCATTCGGCTTTCGAGGACTTCATATGGTTTTTCTAGATTTCAGTAACGTTCTTCTCACTTGGCAAGGTGATATCAAGCTCGGTATGTCTGTGTCTTGCCCGCTCAATCTGAACTTCACTAATTCATGAGAAGCAAATATTGGCGAGTGCTTATTGAACGAAAGCTACTCCGATACGATTCGAAAGGATATTCAAGACGTTGAGCTCATTGTAGAATTTCTAAACGATCTGACTCTGCACTCCTTGAGTCAAGCCATGACCTTGATACATTCATTTTTGCAGATAACCAAGGAAGATACAACCGCCGAGAAACTGGTGGAAGCCAGTATCTCGAACCCTTATTTTGTCTCCGTGGCATCGCTGATTTAATGGAAAGCACGGATTTCTGCATCTTGCCAACTCTAGGCTGGCTGTTCTGGGAATATCGCGGGAATTATATTTGGCTAACTTTTACGGAGACCCGCCATGAAATGCGCGGCTCTATTGCAGTATCGTCATGAAATATGGCCCACCGAAGGCATACATTTTCGTGTCCACCAGGTTCAGATACCTGCATTTGATTCAGTCAAGAATAGACTAGCCACAGATCCTCGGCGGGACCAGAGATACCGTAGGTGACATTAGAAGCCCCGACAAAAGCGTTGTGCCGGTAACGCACATTCTACCGTTATACAACTAACTTCGGTTGTATCATTGTATTGCTACCGAACTTTGATTTCCCGAGACCCCTGGATGCCCAGGTGGGTAGGACAGCTGACTAATAAAGATCTTCCTCCAAGCCACACGGGGGCTCATTATTTGTTGGGATCGGGGTCTCCGGTGGTATTTTGGGTATTTTGCTGCCTTGATCCCAACAACTCGATTCGCCAAAATAATGCGACGATACAAAATTTCTACCGGCTGTGCTGCACTGCCCCCGACCAAGGCGAATCAAGCTCATGCGTGAACGTGCATTAGATCTTGCAGGTATTTTCTGGGGGGGACTAGGGTATTGAAACAGCCCCATAATTGCGCCCTCATTACGAAGTGGACCCTGACGTGACGATGTCATTGCCCCAACCCGTTGGGGCAACGAGATGCAGTTTTATAACACGGTACATAGCCCCTCTAACCCTGAATGGACCCTACGATCGACACGAGAATGGCTCCTCACAGGGCTGAGGTCATCTCGCCACTGCCACCTTGGCTGCCTAACATGCATACGCAATCAAAACCCGATGTTTCTATCTATAGGAAACTAGTTCCCATTTACCAAATACATATATATACATAAAGAGTAGTTTTCCCCCGGATTTTCTGCGTATATCATTTCAATCCAAAAGGCCAATTATTTAAAATCTAACTTACTCACGCAATCAATCCTTTTCTCTACATCAAAATGAAGTTCACTCTGATCTCCTCCGCTCTCTTCCTGGCCACTGCTGCCATGGCCTCCCCAGATGGCCTTGATATAAACTCTATCGTCTCCGACGTCGAAGGCATCTACTCAACTGCCGTCGACGGCGGCCAATCCATCGGATCCGACATCGCCTCAAAGGCCACATCTTTCGCCGAAGCCGCGAGTACCGGCGGAGCCGCTGCCGTCTCATCCATCGAAAGCGAGGCTTCTGCCGCTGCCAGTGAAGCCCGCTCTATCGGCTCTGACATTACTAGCCGGGTTGTTACTGCGGTTTCTGCTCAGACTACTCTGACCGACTCCGCCGGCTCAACCACCGCTACCGAGTCGGCTACCATAACCAGCACAATCTCCACCGGGTCTCCTTCCAGCTCTTCCGAGTCTTCCGCCTCTTCCGGTTCATCCTCCACCTCCTCCGGCTCATCCTCCACCTCTGACAATGGCGCCTTCGCCCGTCCCACTGCTGTCGGCGCTGTTGCTGCGGGCATGGCCGGTGTCCTTGGTCTCATGGTTGCACTGTAAAGTGTTGATATCTTGCTCCGTTGACTCTGGGTTTGATTTCAGTCATTATATCCACTCCGTCCTTTCTTCGCTACTTCTTTGAAACATTTGTTCGTCGCGTTCTCGCATCTGGGAAAAGAGGTCTACTACCGGCGTTCTTTTCAAACTGTACATATTGATCGGTTTTATAACCTACATTTTGGTCGACCATTTCGACATTCAACCTGCTGATAGTCTCACGACTAAATATGCATGTTCTAGAACATATTTTCATGGCCAATTGACCACTGTTTATTACATGTCTCACGCTAGCCTTTTCTAAGGTATCCAGATTAAATAAAAACATGACGTAAGGGCCCATTTAAATCGATATCAGGAGCGAATAAAAAGGTTCCATTGAGCAATAATAGTAACAAAGCTACCAATTACAGATTCGGCTTTGTACAGGTTACAAATGGCGAGAACACTAAAAAAGACAGAACCACACGCCTTTCCACGTCAGTAGTGAGGAGCAGAAAAGCCAGAATTCCATGTCGCTAGCTCACTCCTCCATGTTAGAGAGCATTACATAGTCAATATACCCTTGATCCTTCGGTCTCTCTGGCAGTGCAGCTACCAAGAGGCCATCAGCACTAGGATCTGATGGTAGCATATTGTGAGAATCCACGTAACTCACGAACTGGTAACCTGGGTGTAGGAAACTTTCCCATAGCGAGATAGGCATTGATAGAAGACACAAATAACGCCCTTGAAGGTCAAAAATACCTTCGATGGTCACATTCATATCGGGATCCATTTTTGAAAGCGACGCCTGCCACCGTTTGATCTAACGGCGAACTGTCTTGCCAAGAATAGATACGGAAATAAGGACACGACCCGTAGGTATTTGTGCCTTGCCTGTCGGTCTTTGTCTCCCCCACTCGTAATTAGCTCGATGTTGGAGGGTGATAGTTGTTTTTCGACAGTCTATACATTCAGGAGTATAACGCAGCTTAGTACTTGGGTCATTCGCCTGGGTACAGAGAGCTTCGTAGAGTTATATAACAGTAACCGGAGTTGGTAACGCAGTGTGTATGAGTTCTGTCAGACGGGTCGTGAAGTTGTTGTTAACATCCATCGTAAGTGGGACCGTTCTGATCAGCAATCTCGTTGCCTGTTGAGAACAGGTACTCAGCGAAACGTTTATTGTACTGCAATCTCATTTGTAGGCTGTGACATGGCTCTAAAAAGCTTCCAGAGTAGGAGGTATCGATTGGAACGAGAATATCAGCCTTCGTGCGAAGGCTGATGGAAGACTAAGGAATTCTAACGGTATCAGGGCTGCGGGTTCCACTGAGAGTCGAGTTGAGCGATGCTGGATGAGCAATGGATGAGTTTTATTAGGGTCCTTGCCAGATTTCATACCTCCATTCTGTTTCAGATACACCATAGCCGATATAGTGTATCAAAAATAAACCGGGATAGCCATAGGGGGGTGTCTAATTTATATTCCTCGCAGAGTTTAAAAAAAATTTCGTTTATCGCTTCCAATGCCTCGTTCCCAGGGGTTGAGGGTATAAGCAAATTGCCTATCTCGAATCCATATTTTGTCCGAAATATCTCCAGAAGTGCAGCTTGAGGTTTGGCCAAGTCCAGGTCATCATTGCTCCATCGTAGACCAAGAATAACGCGATTGGAATAGGGGATCACCCTGGGCCTACTATTTCTGACTCCCTGGCTCAAGGTTTTGATGACGCATTCAAAATCATTCCCCCCCCCAATGAGTGGTTGGGTGACTTGGAGAGGGCTGCGTCTATTTAGACATCCTGGAATCTGAATATGGACGACAGGGGATTGGAAATGAATACAATGGTGGAAACGATAACATGATGATTGCACCAGAAATTTGAAAACGCTGAATGGTGAATATGACGTAGAAAATACACCTTCCTCCTTTGTCTGAAGACTAAATCCTCACCATGCCATTACACTCTTATCAAAACACAATATTAGCTCAAAATAACTCCGTGTTGTTTGTGTCAAAACCAATCGGCCTACATGAATCGGGACAAGCTGGAAAATAAGCAGCATCTATTGAGGCACATGAATATATGTACCGCGGGCAACGATCGAGAGAAGAATGATCATTCTTCCTTATGATCGAAAGATGCGGGTGTCTCGGTAGGGAGCGGATGGGGAACTGGGAAAACAATGATATTGTCCGAAGCAGTAGAAAAACTCTCGTCGACAGTCATCTGGGGGCCAATGTACCATCGCCGTGCGAAAAGGAAATAATATGCCATACATCCGAACCAAACAAAGCCGTTGATTACTATGGTGTAGTTCATGTTCGATGCTACGGGTAGTTAAATTGTTAGCGGTCGTATCAAGCGACCTTGCAGTGTTCAAATACATACGAGTTGTGTTGGGACCCTCAGTTGGAAACACAGACAAGGTCACGCCAAAAATAAGATAGACAACGGCTACCCAGGCAATATGCCTGCTCAAGCGGCCGGTATAGAATTCCCCGGGGGTGAACCGGTCCTGGCCCCAGACCAAGCGGCAGAAGATTGGAGTGCCCCATGATAGGTAGTTGCTTGCTACAAATAGCGAGAACAGGGCATTGGCGGCTGCGGAGTTGATCAGACACAGTAGGCCCAACACAATAGAGACAACTACTAAGCCACAGATCATGCGCACTGGTTGGTACTGGATTCGCGTACTGACGTGGCGGAAGAATCTAGAGAATGGCAGTGCGCCGTCGCGCGAAAAGGCCCATGCTTGGCGAGAAGCAGCGACAATCAAGCTGAGGCCGATAAGGAACTGAATGACGCAAAGCACAGCCATGAAACCCAAAGCGCCGTCTCTGCCTAATGCATCATAGTATATTTGGGCCATTGGCTGACCGAATTTGGTGTTGATTGTCGCGCTTACATCCGGGTTCATAGTAGCAGCGATGACGGATAGCACCAGGAAGCCAAGCACAAATGCAGAGCCCGCCGACCAGACGATTCCAAGAGGAACAGCCTTGGATGCATGCATAGCTTCTTCGCTCATGTGCACACAAGAGTCAAAGGAGCCAATTGACCAGATCGGAGCGAGCCATGCCAACATAAATGCCCATCCAGTCGGCCATGTGGTCTCATTGTCGATGTGGCCATACACATAATTGCCAGCGTTGAGGGACCCACCACGCGTCACTTTTCCAACTGGCAAGGCAATTACGGTCGCAACCACGAGGGCAATGTTGATATAGATGCAAAATGTCTGGATTTTTGGCATTAGGCGTCCACTGAAGGAGCCGCATAGCCCGTGGAAGAAAATCAGGCCGACGTAAACAGCATAGATAACGCCGCGCGAGGCGGACCATCCATCTCCCCGTGATATTGAGACACAGGAGAGGATCATGAGTGCGAGGGTGTCTACACAATAAGAGTAAGTGATACGAGTGATCGCAATGGGTACGGATGATCATCCTCACAATCCACCGAACACATGCCACCGATCAAGCCCAATGTGTTGCTATATCCGATCAAGAAGCTCAATGGTCTCTTCCACTTCGGTCCGGCGAAATAATGTGTCCACCAATATAGCCCTCCGGCCGTCGGCATGGCAGACGCGAGATCAGCCTAGATGATATCAGTGCGATAGTTCCAGATAACCCCAACTAAGATTTCTACCATTGCCAGCCCAACCAATAAAATGAATATGCTCGCCGTGAACCATCCCTGTTGCATAATCCCAATCAACCAACAGCACAATCAGACTCAAGGGAGTTCAACCCCTACCCAGACCATCCCGACCGGACCCGCGGGGAGAGAGAACGAGAGCGTCGACGCGATTGAGGGCACCAAGCCCATGATACTGAATGCGATTGCGAAAACTTGCGTGGTAGAATACTGCCGACGAAGTTCCTGTTTGTAGCCCATCCGTGCTAGAAAAGACATCAGCGACCAGTCCTCACCAAAAAAAAAAAAGGCACACTCTTATACCCAGCAGCTGCACATCCCCGACATCTGCCATCCCGTCGGTCGCGACCGGGGCGAGCGCTTCGGGGTCGACGGGTTGTGAGTCCATCATAAACACCTCGCCTCAGATTGTAGCTGTTCGGACGGACATGGGAGGGACGGACAACTCAAATGCCAAATCAATTCGGGGTCAAGTCAAGCGATGAAATAAGACTGACCAACCATCGGTGGTGGACTCCAATAATGGCGGTTTCCTGCAGGAAACAGGATGTGACATGATTACGCCCCTGCGTTTGAATTTCAGAGGCATGTGAGACATTGTCCACTTCAAATCTCGCGACTATTGAGAATGTTAGCGCTGTGACAGCGGGTGATCTGCACCAACTCCGAGACAGTCACAACTCCACCGCAACCCATTAGGTTACACGAGCTGAATACAGAGTACATCGTGCACACCAGCCAACTTAAGTGCGAATAAGTGTTTGGTATGCTTCAAATTCGTCTGCACTTATTGACATCGATTAAATATTCTCGGCCTCATTGCCAGTTTAAAATATTAACCCAGATATTATTATCGAGGGGTTTCTCCACTATATACAATAGGGAAATTTGTTCAGCGAACTCAAGTCGCATCGGTTATGGTCGTCGAGGCGAAGCAATCAACGGGTTTCCATCAAGCAGCACTTCGGACCATGCAATAACATTAAACATGCTCATCGAAGGGAACATCTCTTCTGCCATTTAGGGGGGAGCGACATTGGCAGTGATGGTATGCTCAGAACCAATCAAGGACTCCTTCCTGGCTACCTCTTCCTCGTTATAATCCTGACCGGGGTTGATCCTCTCCCAGCGCACGAGACACAGGAGTTGATAGAAACCGGATGCAAGAAGGGATCCAAGCAAAGGACCGAGCCAATAGATCCAGTGGTATCCCGGGAACGAGCGGTTGATCACATCCGGTCCGAGGGAACGAGCTGGGTTGAGAGACCCTCCGGTATAGTAGTCACCTAGTGTGAAGGGTCAGCATAACACGTGAAGGAATCCGATATATGACCGTACGTACCAATCAGTTCTGCGACAAAGAAGGCCAGACCGATTCCTACTGGAGCCAAATAGGTGGACTTGTGCTTCACCACCGCCAACATGATAATGACAAACACAAGCTGCGCCGTCAAGAACATCTCAATGAAGAGTCCTTGTACAATTGATGCACCACCACCAAGTCGTGTCGCGCAGTTTAGCGGGCCCGGGAACAGGGCACTCACCACGCCTGCCGCCGCAATTCCAGCGACAAGTTGCGCAGGGAATACACACAACCCCCCGAAGAGGGGGCATGCCACCAGTCAGGCAGAGGGCAAGAGTAACCTAGTGAATGTCAGCTACAAATATTCCCTTTCCTATGTGGTGATGTCCATACCGCCGGATTGAAAAGACCACCCGTGACTCGGTAGAACGCCCAGACATTGACCGTCAAAGCGAATCCAAAAGAAAGTGCGGAATACATCAAGTTGGAAGTATTTGGCGGGGAGCCAGGTGGCGGCATGGGGGTATTGGACACCTGTGTACCCGCGAAAGAAAAGAAGAGAAACAGGAAAGTCCCCACAAACTCGCCCATCAGACAGAGCAAGTTATACTGTAGCTTGTCTGGGAGCCGCAGCATAAGCAGCTGGTTTCCCTGCGACCCCCCGAGCGTCGAGGCATCAGACGAGCGCTTCTTGAACAGCATCGCGAGGGATGAGGGAGCTGGAATAAAGAGAACTGATTAAAATCGGATGAAGTCAGTGTTGGACAAGTATCTCGTCGGAATGAGAACATTGCAGCCTCTTCTATCATCCGTCTTTTTTTACATGCTACAATCGTCGCATATCACAGACGTCACTACTCAATACAGACAGTGTTGCGACTGGTCCATGTATGATCGATTAGCCCTTGACTCAACCATAATTCAACTTATTTTAGGGCAGTAGTCCATTTTACCAGTGAATAAATGGGCTCATATGTAATTTTTCCCGTATAGAGTGGGATAGTAAAGTTAAGATTCTGGGGTTGGCTGGTGGAGTCAATAGCCGTTGGATGGGGAGCATCCTGACGTCTGCAAACGGTTGTGAAAGTTGAACGTCTAGACCTCCACACACGTCATCCTCCCCAGATTGTCCAATGGTCTATATATATCTAGGTAAGTATCGATCTTCTCCATGTGTTTCCAGAACCCTGTGATTGGGCCAGCGACGAACATTGAGATCTAGACCCAAAAGATCTCGCATGAACGCCTTTAGGGTTTGACGGCTCGGACTTTACCGTTGCTATATATTAGAGTTCTCGCAGATTAGGTTTGCTGATATAGTGAATCGCTTCGAAGCTGGTGAAGGACCGGACTATGATAGGATCTTGGCGCCAAATAATGGAGATGATGAATCTTGGATTCAGTCATTCGCAGCGCCAGAACGGTTAAAGTGGCATTGCTCAATTAGTACAGAGATCGAAGTATACAGAAATATGTTGTATTTTCTGTCATGACTCCCGAGGTCACCTGCGCAGCTCCAGGGCTGGCATATTTTAGGAAGCCTCCGGAGTACCTAAATGGGTCCACGGGTCATCAAATCGAGTTTACCTAATTGAACGGCAGCAACCGGGCCGTTTGGTCCCGATGACATTCTCGCGTGTGGCCTGATTCTGTGTGGCGGCTTTGTATGCGGGATGTATAATAACAGAAATACACCAATTTTTATGTAATTTTGTGTAATTTTGTAACACACGACCAAACGGACCAAACTTGGCACAATACACACATTAGTAGTACTGTACATAGTTATGCAGTGGACTCTGAGAGACTGGCGGTCACATGATTTTCGGTGGAACATAGTTCATCCAAGATAAGGCCCATATGGAAAAAGAAAACCTTATCAACATGGATGTTTGTCTCTATTTCTCCATTTTAGGGAGGTTGCATTTGAGCCTTATCTTGGACGAACTATATCCATCATATGTATGCATGTACCTAGGTACTCTATCTTGGAAGATCTTTGTGATTACAAGCGAGGCATGGTCCGCCTCATCCAATCGGAAATTGATAACACCAGAGCTTTCCAAGGTTACACATGTATGAACGCAGAGAGCTGATATCGTCTCCGGGGCTCGATTTCTTTTTTCCTATGAGCTTGAATGACGACCCCAGTTTTGAGGGAAGATAAAGATATAGATCGAGACTGGGGGTGGGGCATATTCCAGTCTATCATGCATCGTAGATATCTAAGATATCTACATACCCTATTCAAATGGCCTTCCACGTGGAATTTAGGAATATAAAACAGGCGACAGAACTTTATGTACCAGTTACACGTTGCAAGTTGCAATTTGCGAAAACAGACCGAGTTAATCCCTTTGTGCGCTGGATCCCCCTCTCCGCGGAGTGCTCCGCGGAGATATCTTCACTTCGGCCCTGAAAATATTTACAGATCACGCCAGATACCTTCCGATTTTTTCTAAATCCCGTCTCTTACGTGTAAACGATCCGGTTACGGTGGAGATAAATAGCTGGATAACCAACCAAATACAACTGATTTCTTATTACTCACATATTCCGATTTGCTGTTTATATTTAAACCCCTGCACCGGTCCCTGAATAGTGCAGATATCAAACGTTTCCTATACTCAATCACCCCAATATCATAGATCCATTCATCATGGGTTCCAATCCGGGAATGACTCCAGACCAAATCGCGCTCATTAAAGCGACAATTCCGGTTCTCGTCGAACATGGCAACACCATCACGACTGTCTTCTATCGCAACATGCTCGAAGCCCACCCGGAGCTGAACACTGTGTTCAACACTGCCAACCAGGTCAACGGCCATCAACCTCGTGCGTTGGCAGGTGCACTCTACGCATATGCATCGCATATCGATGACCTTGGCGCGCTAAGCTCAGCGGTTGAGTTGATTTGCAACAAGCATGCTTCTTTGTATATCAAGCCCGAGCATTACCAGATCGTTGGCAAGTACCTCCTCGAGGCCATGGGCGAGGTGCTCGGCGAGGAATTGACCCCAGAAATCCACGATGCATGGGGCGCAGCCTACTGGCAACTCGCGGATATCATGATCGGCCGCGAAAAGCAGCTTTATGAACACGCCGAGGGCTGGACCGACTGGAGAGAATTCAAGATTGTGAATAAAGTCCAGGAATCCGAGGAAATCACATCCTTCTATCTCGCCCCGGTCGATGAAAAGCCACTACCGGCCTTCCAGCCCGGCCAGTACATTTCCGTCCAAACCTACGTTCCAGCTCTCAAGTACCCACAGGCTAGACAGTACTCTCTCAGCGACCAGCCCAAGCCCGACTACTATCGCATCAGTGTGAAGAGAGAACTGGGTCTCAGCCCTGCCGCTCCAGGTGCTGCCGCCCATCCGGGTTACATCTCCAATGTGCTGCACGATACATTCAACATTGGCGACAAACTCAATGTTTCTCACCCCTACGGCGACTTTTTCCTTACCCCGGCCGACTCGGAAACCGGCAATCCGATCGTGTTAATCTCCGCTGGCGTTGGGCTAACGCCACTGACGTCGATTTTGAACACGTTGATTTCCAAATCGCCCACAACACGCAATGTGCATTTCATTCATGGCGCACGTTCGTCGGGCGCGCGGGCTTTCAAGAAGCACGTCTCCGAGCTTCCAAAGCAATTCCCTTCCATTAGAACGACATTCTTCACTAGCCACCCATCCGAGGGAGAGACGGAAGGTGTCGATTATGACCATGTCGGGCGGGTAGACTTGACCAAGTTGGAGGACCAGGACTTGTTCCTTGATGATGCAAAGACGGATTATTATATCTGTGGACCCGGACAGTTCATGACTGATATCGAGTCAGGTCTCAAGGCCAAGGGTGTGGGGGCCGATCGCATCAAGATGGAATTGTTCGGAACTGGAGGTATTCCCCATTGAGTTCGGAGTGTGATTGAGTGAATCTCTTTTGGGTTAATTTGTCCGTTCCGGGTTTGGCGTTTAGAATTACATCTCATCTCTTGCTATTTCGAATTACGATTGACGAATGATAGAACCTTGAAGCCTCAAGATCCCTGCCCATAAGACCCCTGTCCAATTTTAGGTCATCCATCTGCTGAGCAAGCAATGTATTTTGAATGGGGGCAACTACACCCATTTAGGTAGAACGTACTTGAATTTTCCGATAGCCGTGAAAACGTGGCGCAAGGGGGTGGTGTATTAGCAATCTTCATTTTTTAAAAAGCAATGGATCGACATCCATGGATTCATAGAGAAACAAGTACAGGGGTCATTGCATTCGGTTATTGCTGTCATAGACCGAATACAGATCTCCATTTATAAGCATGCGATTATGAAATGCAGGACATAAAGGCTCAAAAAATCCCCGGGTAAAGTGTACGGATCATCGAAAATCTTCCCAATTACAGCCTATTACCCGAGCTACCCTTCCAATATATTCCCCCAATATCAATATGGGTGCCAAAATTGGTGTCTTCCCTGCCTCTGGGGCCCTTGGATCAAGCATTGTGAACCACCTGGTGAAGCTAGTCCCAAAATATGACCTAATTTTGAGTGCCCGACACCCCGAGAAACTGCACGATCTCAAGCAAGCTGGCGCTACGGTGCGCAGAGCCGACTATGATGAGCCATCAACGTTAGACACAGCCTTCGAGGGCGTGGATGTTTTGATGCTCGTTTCATATGCGTCATTCGAGATAGATCACAGGGTTAAGGCAAGAAAACTCAAGTTATATTACCCGACCTAAGTTTTTAGTCTAACAACCATAAGCAGGCACACCGTCTTGCTATAGATGCAGCCATCAAGAGCGGCGTCAAGCACATCTTCTACTCTTCTCTTGGATTCGGCGGTGATCTAACCAACCAGACCATTGCTCATGTGATGGGCGCCCACATCGAAACAGAGAAATACCTCTTTTCCCTGCAAGACAAGATATCTTACACCATAGTTCGGGAGGGTCTTTACACTGAATCCTTCCCGATCTATACCGCGTACTTTGATCCGCAGAATCCAACCGACGACGTGACGATCCCTCACTCAGGTGCAGGCCCAGGTGTGGCGTGGGTCAAGCGCGATGAGCTGGGCGAGGCAACCGCTAAGTTGATTGCCTCGTATGTTAATAACCCCACTGGCTTCGAGTATGTGAACAAAGCTCTTCTGCTCTCTGGGTCTCGGGAGATCTCCCTTGCGGAGACGGTTGAGATTATCGGTCGGGCGATTGGGAAACCGCTTAAGATTCGTGAGATCTCCGTCGATGAGTATGTCAATCTTCCTCAGATTGGCGATAAGAATACATACAAAGGGGTTAATCTGTCGAGAGAGTGGGCTACAGCCTGGGAGGCTATCAGACAGGGTGAGACTGCAGTTGTGTCTCCGACTCTTGGCAAGATCTTAGGGCGTGAACCGGAGAGTTATGAAACTACTATCAAGGCATTGATTGGATGACTTTTCGCAGGCCGCCCCAATTTGAATGTCTATATACAAGAAACTAGATAGATTGTTTTCATGGGATATAGAATCAACTTTAGCGAAGCTTCAGCTGCTTTACATTCGCTATTTATGATGTATACAACATATATTATTAATGGGATGACCCAGTAGTTAAAAAGACGTATGTTAACACCAAAAGCACAGGAAACCCATCAGGCTATTCTATCAGATCGACGGAGGGTCAAACCCGGGTAGATATTTAGGGGGAGTAGTTCTTCAGCTCCTTGACATAGAGCTTCTCACTGCGGTACTCAGCGTTGTGAGCAGCGTACCAGAAGATCTCCTTAATCTCGTTCTCGCCGTAGCCGTCAATGGCGAACCAAGGCTTGCCGCCATGGGTGAACAGACCCTGCTCGTTGACACCAAATCCAGTGATGTTGCCACCCTCAGGGACAGCACCGGAGTGAGGCAGGGTCAGACCGACGGGCGAGACAGAGTCCTCGACAATGTAGAGGTTCTGGAAAGCGGTGGGAACACCGTTCTTGGCAGTGTATGAGACAAGGCCGTTGGGGCTGCCGCCACGGACTAGAAAAAGAACTAATATTAGGGGCTAGATCGAGATCATCAAAGGGTGGATGCTTACGGATCAGAATCTCATGGTCGGTGGTGTTGGCATTGATGTAAGCGTTCTGGCCATCGGTCAGGACGGTCTTGCCGCCCTCGGCAACGAGAGTGAAGGCGTTGGGAAGGCTGGCAGCGCTGATGGCACCAGCGAAGGCAGTGATGGTGGCGAGAGAGAACTTCATTTTGATTGTGAATTGGACTTGTAGAGTAAATTCGGTGATACATTTAAGGAGAGGAACTTGGGACTCTTATATACCCCAGAGGCATAGACATATTTTGTACATACGATTTCGAACTCAGACCTGCCTCGGTTTGTTGAGGTCATAAAACCGGGGACGATTCTATTTTTATTTAGAGTGGCTACTCTAAATTACTATATCAGTTCAATTGGGCGACGATCATTTCGCAATACTGAAACATGTCTAGGATTCCCTCATAACAGGATTTTTACTCCAGATGTCGACAGATGTCGCCGCGATAGCGAAATGCATGGTTTGTTCAAATATTGAATTGTTGATGAACCTAACTTACTAGGCTACAGAGTTTGAGGTTGGACAATATCATAATATCGATCGACTGTCCCTAAAAGCTAATTGTGAGACCTTTAATGTCACTCAAAGCACCTACAAGCCTAGCATCTCCGGCTAAAATCCGAGTATGTACGTATTTTCTTTCTGAGCGGTGAAAGTGAGTCCACCAAGCCCCTGTCGATCCTCCGGTTTGGTGGAGAGAGGTCGGGTCATTATTACCTTTTCCATCCCATTTCATCCTATGCACACTCCTTTCGGTAGTTCCATACGGTAGTAGTTCTAATTTCCCAATTCTCAGACCGACTATTTTTGGCTTCGGTTGTTGCTTGTTTCTCATTCATCAGGTCCAATCCTGGCTGTAGAGTCCTGGCTGTAGAGTATCGACCTGAAGGTTGCTTGGAGAAAAGCGTGGATCTACTCAGTACATTATGGCTGATATAAGATCAGCCTAAAAAGTAGCGTTGTTTGACGTTGCCACCATGCTCCAAGTGATTTCCTTTTCAGATGCTTATTGGAAGCCATTGATACATACTCCGTATGTCGGGCCGGACCCCACATGGGAGGCTTTTCTTGATTCAAACTCTAATAATACGGGGAAGCAACATCTATATTCCACCAGCTAAGGTATGTACACTTGACAGATATATGCCACCGTCTTAAATCGAACAGTTTATCACAATGAATACAAAACCCAGCATAACAAAGCCTTCATCCGCAAGTTAATCTAGCAACATGGTAGTGAATTCACACCCCAAAACTTACTTACGCAGGCAAAAGTTATTTTAGCCATCAACGGCAGACTTTATATCTAGCACCCTAGCGATCAGTTCCTCTTGAAATACTAGCTATATATGGGCAACCGCTGGAGGGCAACCAGTTACGTTTCTGCAGAGTGTAAGTAAAGCAATTTATGTATGTGTATGTCATCCGAAAAGTTGAAGTGGCTTACAGCAAGCCTGAATTGTTCGGTTACAGGCGACTAAGGGGGCATTAGAGCCAGTCCTATAGCTATTAGTGTGGCTAGTTTAATGCCTAAGGCACCCAATTCATGTAGAGCTATGTCACGTGACATAACCCAAAAAGTCAAACCGTGCACGTTAGTCACCTGACTAGTTGAAAATATAAATGTAACATTCAACCGTGATGAGAATAGGACATGCAGATTTAGTCACCTAGGTACGGAGTGTATCCATAGATATTTGCATAGTAAATTTCCGCAGTTTTGAGAAGCTGACCTGGCGTCCTGACCATGTGACCCGTACTAAATCTATCCCTTCGGTTTTTCGTATTGCTTCGCTTATGCTCCACAATCATACGATTCATATCGACGCTAGGGAAATTATCGTCAACTATTGCAAATCGACCCCTATCAATTAACCTAGCAATGGTGTATAGAGGTGCATCTTTGTCTTGAATTACATAGGTGAAATTTTGCACGTAGGCATAGCTGCAAAAGCAACGTCTGTATAAACTGCGAATTTAGCCGAGCATGACCCCAGCCTGCATGACCCCAGCCTGCATTCCAGACACGATCCTCATTCTCCCTATATGTACGCCATAACAGGATCATCCCTAGTTTATCTGAATGTCTTCACCCGGCTACTTCGTGCTAATGGGGGTTTTCACGGTCGGATAACCAATGTTCACATTCGATTCTTTCCATAGAAGTACTCGAGCTTGATGGGGCAGAGCTTACCCATAGACGTCGGCAGCAGCAAGCTATCAGCCACTCATATTGTTGTTCTGGAGACTTGTAGTCACAATTGCATTGGCCTTTTGATCAACCCCGCGGGTTTGATCGAATATGCGCCCACTGTACACTCACCTTGCAAGAAGACAATTTAATTTACGCAAGATAATCGGAAATCTTATTCCAGATATATATCAGATCCTAGTGCGACGCCTCAATCACACAATGTGCGTCATTGAGAATACCTATAATCGTTTCAACCTCGGTCCATCCTATCCCTCTCGGTCGAGCGGTACGTCGCTTAATGGGGTTGATAATTTACAAAAGATAGGGTGGAAGGACAACACATTGTACGGAGTACGGAGTACACTGATACGTATTGTGAATCGCAAATTCCAAAGTGGATCACGTACTTCGATGGGACCCGCAAGTGGAGGACTTCCAAGGTTGTCAACCGTATGATGTGTGGATCTGATTTGGGAGCTACCTACACCCGAGCATAAGCTGTGCGCGGTTCAGCGGGAGCAAGTTTCATTAATCGGATGCAATTTTCCTCCGTAATTGCTAGTAATATTCACGAGTAACTAAGGGCTAAATTTTCTCCCAATGAACGCAACCGAGCAACAACGCTCTGGTAAAATAATAGTGTGGCCTAGCGCGAGAGCCGCATAAACAAACCGTGTATACTTCACAGTTGGCAAAAAAGCGGGAATCATTTTACTGCTATTGGCTATCCATTTTCAGGGCCTGGAAGTCATATCTCAAATATCCGGTCCTATATCCCAGAATTTCACACCACAGACCAGTGATTTTAAAGTGTAATCAACCTAGTCTAGTCTCGAAGCGAAAGTGGACAAAACAGACTTCTTGGCGCGGAAAAGCCGTCTTCGGTTCCATCAGCGTGAAGCGTGGCATCAACGATACGAAGACGGCAAAGTTTTTATCCTTATGTGCACTCACTCTTCCCGAACAGCCCTATTCTAGTCAAAAGCCATCTTAGCCACCGATGAAGATCCAGCCACAGGAAATCAAGATCCATAAACGATAATCGGGACCGGAATCGAGTCAAGATCCGTGTATTCCGTGCAGATGACAGGTCTAGCGCCCGTTATTGTTCCACTGGGTCAAGGCGCCGGGTGGACTGACCCTCATCTTCCTCATCTTGGAACAGGCCGTGACACAGGGGTAACGGGTCGCCTGCAGGGTACTGGTTTAGTGTTGGTCTAGATGACTTGGTACAGGTATGAAATGGTACAATCTTTTAAGGTTGTGATAGATCTGAGATGTTAAGGGGAGATGCTGGTCATTAGCCACAAAGTCTAACAATGCATATCATTATTTGCAATTGTCGAGAAACCTGTATTCTCAAAGACTTCCCCTTTCAACCTCGAAAGAAGAAAATGTACAATCGGATTGCCCACAGCATCGGGGAGTATCAGGAGACGAACCCTCATGCCATGAATGCGGGACTGTTGACCGGAGTCCAAACTGGAGAAACGGACTCCGTATGCAATCATCTAGATATGAAATCTCGGGTTGTCACAGGAGCGAGTTTTCTCGTATGGACTCGGTGGACTTCGGGCTCGAGGGTAGGGCGAAGGACAGGAAGGAGATTATCCGAGTCACCCCACTGATCCAAAGTGCAAGTGGAGTCGTTTTGGGAAGAAATTTGAATAAGCGGGATTTATCTGCTTCGCTACTGGACAACACGGAGGCCCGAGGCGGCATTACGGACTAACTCCACGTCTAATTCTCATACAACATACTTTCTTTGTTAACCGACCAATCTAAAGCCAACTTGTTTGATACATCTACGGAGTAGATCTGACATGTTTGTTTTAAATGTGCTTTCACTAGGTGTAAAATCGGAAAAAATTTAGCGCTGGTTTTCAGTGAGACTGACAAAAGTACTAGGCTGATACCGGAATACACCTCGTAGACATTCCCATAAGCGGCAGTGCAGAAATTGGCAGAACTGCCGAATATACATGACCTTTCCAAGGAAAATTATGGAAGTATAAAAGTATTGAGTATGTATATTGTATTCTTTATTGTAGATGTATCACAGTGGTTCAATTGGGTGATTATCGCCAGCTTTGACGTGTTAATATTCATCATTATTACTATCATATCAACTTACTTCGGCGTCAGATATGATATCTGGATATTTCCTTAGCTCTTATAGGACTCTCTGCACCGAGTAATGACGTACAGTTTAGTCGCATATGCCAAGAGATCCATCTTCCAAGAAACGGATTGCCTGACAGGGTGAGCGACAGGTGATCGTCAAAGTATAAGTGGTGAGGCAAGCAATCAGCAGTATACTCCATGAAGAAACAGGGTATGACTTTTACAGGGGGTAAAGAATGTAAAGACATTTTCGTACAATTAACATGTATGTTTCTGTACAGGGGGATTTGTGGCCCACATTGATATTGTTGACGTTGCCGCTTTTACAGAGACAGGCTGTGTATACCGCAGTGTAGCTACATTCGGGTTTACATTCTGATCATCTGGTTCGTCACCAATAGAGGAACCTTATCCAGTCAAGTGTCTATGACGGAATAATGATTCTTTTCATATATGAAAGCACCTATGCGACTAGTTATAAAAATCTGGTATGAAGGATTATATAAATTGACAAGCATAGTTACCACGTGTACAACAAGTGTTGAGGAGAGTTGACTCGGCAAGACATGATTGGCTTCACCCGTAAACCTACTAACTACATATGTACATAGGTAGTAAATACTCCGTACGGAGGATACGGAGTAGCCAGGTCTCAAGTCTACCACCTGCACATGTGTTCATACATCAAAGCAGCAGGAGAAAATATACAAATGTCAAAACCAAAAAAAGGAGGTACAAAGGTACATAAATTACATTAAATACATTAAAACATGTAAATTACAGAAATTACATAAAACACCGGCTCCGAGGCTCGGCCGGCGGAACCTTGGAAATGGCCCAGCCCACTGGTTCCCGCGAC